CAAGCGACCTCAGGGTCGAGTCCGGGCATCTCTGCAGCGCTCCAGGCGAAGAGATCAGCATTCTCGCGCAGGCAGACCTTGATTTGCTTCCTGGCCAAGTCGGGGAGGTCTTTGCCAATCTTCACTCCCTTGGTCGGGTCTGCTCCGAGGGGAACGAGTTCAAAATCACCGTCCGGAATAGGTCGGAGTGGGATTTGCTCGCTGCTGGATGGCTCGTCCTGGTCGAAGCGAGCATCGAGGGCTATGGAGTCGACCTTTGGTGGAGCCTTCTGGACTTCTTCCTCGGGGGATGCTTTTCTGTCGGGCTCCTACTTTGTCCTCTTGGTGGGTCTGGTCCCCACGTCGACGGTATCCCGTCCCTTTGAAGCGGCGTTGAAGCACCTGCGGGCAGCGGAGAGGTCTCCTTGGATGGTGGCTACCCGTGCCCTTTTGGTATAGAACTTCATTTTCAGATGGACAGTCGAGGGCACCGCTGTCAGCTCCGCCAATGTCGGTCTCCCCAAGATGCAATTGTATAGAGACGGGAAATCAATAACGAGGAAGCGGACCTTCACCTGTCTTGTAGCCATTCCTTCTCCGAACGTCACCAGGAGCTCGACATAACCCCAAGGTTTGGAAGTCGAGCCGTTGAAGCCTTGAAGATCCGAACCCACATACGGAGAGAGATGTGAGTCGTCCAGTTGCAAGGTCCGGAACAACTGGCTGTACATCACGTCGACGGAACTCCCTTCGTCGACCAGGATGCGATGCACGTCAAAATTGGCCATTTTCGCCCTTATCAGCAAGGGGATGACCGCGTTCGGGGCTCCGCCGGGGAGTTCTTCCAGGTAGAAGGTGATGGGCTCTGACCTGCCCTTCACCCTTTCGAACGTCACAGTTTGTGGAGGAGCTATGTCGACCAGTTCGTCCAACTTCCTCTTGGCTGAATTGATGGTGAGGTCATTGAACCCGCCCCCGTTGATGACCATGGCGGAGGGGAAGTATTCCCACCTGCTGTGTGTTGTCAGGGGCTCATGCAGGAGCTCGGGAACGTCGAAATCCTCGGGCCTGGTTACCGAGAAGGCGGTCTGGATTGGTACCGACTCGTCTGATGGTCGGGCATCTTCTTCGGGCTCCTTAACTTCATGGGCGTCACGGCGGGGAGCGTCGTTTCGCCTGTACTGTGCGAGCCTCCCTCCCTTGATGAGGGTTTCAATGGCGTCCTTGAGGTGGACGCAGTCCTCTGTCAAATGACCATGACTCCTATGGTATTGACAGTATTTATTTTTGTCTGCCCCTGGCTTGGCGGGAGCAGGTCGGGGACGCTTGACGCCACCGTCTCTGAAATCTGTACTAGCACACTCCGCCAAAATACGCTCGCGGGAAGCCGTGAGCGGAGTGTACTCGGTGAAACGGCCCGAGGGGCCCCTTTGTTCCCGGACCTCTCGGGGTCGATCTTCCTTCCTTTTCTCCCCGATACGTCGGGGAGGAGGGTCTTGTCGTGAGCTGCTGCTGTTGTTGGGAGCGCGAGCCCTGGAGTCTCGGGCCCTGTTGGCAGCTTCTCTCTCCTCGTAGTCCATGTATGCTCGGGCCTTGTCGAGGAGGGCATCAAAAGTTGGAGGTGGTTCAATACCCACAGCTTTTCTGAATTCTGTGCCGGGGAGGAGGCCCCTCTCCAGCAAATATCTTTTCATATGGTCCACGCAAGGGACCTGTATTGCTTCCCGATTGAAGCGGTTGATGAATTCCCTCAAGGTTTCATCCTGTCTTTGGATGATGGCCTCGAGGGCTGCCTCGATCTTCGGATGGCGCCGAGAAGCTGTGAAGGAACTGATGAACTGGTTCTTCAGGTTCCGCCATGACGTAATTGAGCCCGGGGCGAGTCCTTTATACCAGTCCATGGCCGCCTTCCTAAGAGTCGTGGGGAAAAGACGACACTTGATAGGCCCCCCGACATTATGATAGTGGAGCATGGCTTCGAACCCGTCAATGTGGTCGACCGGGTCTGCTACTCCGTCATACTCCTTCAAGTGTGGGGGCTTCTCCATGCCCGGGGGGATGGGTGCGTCCATGATGGCCTGCGACAGGGGACCGCGGGGGTCATCCTCGTCGCTCCTCTCCGGAGAAAGAGAAGGGGTCCTGTAGTTATGTCTGGCACGATGATCGTGCTGAGATTCCCTCGAGCGTGATGCTCGGTGGTTGAAGGTCACCCGCCCGTCTCCGGCGTGCCTCTTGTCGTGCCTTGATGGGTCGCGACTGGGTTCTTCGGTAGGGATGACGGGCTGTCTCTCATAGTAGGGCCGCCTCTGCTTTGGCCGGGGAGAGGGGCTCCTAGATTTCTCCCTATAGTGTCTCCGCGGGGGAGAAGGGTGTCGAGCTTCCGTGACCCGAGGAGGAGGAGAATGTGGCCTCTGATGCCTCCTCGGGGGTCGTCGATCATCTTCAAATGCCCTTAATCTTTCTTCTTGGGCGAAGATGAGGTAATTTGTCTGATTAATGGCCGCGAACAGTGTCTGAGTCGTGGCATCTGCCCCGGCAGGAACTGGGACTTCATAGAACCGGGCAGCTCTGCGATGAGCGAGAGCTACCGGGTCGTCTTCGAGTGCTGGAGGGGTCGTAGAGGATGATGTAGTAGCCCCGTCCCTGTAGGTGGAAGGTCTAGGGGCGGTTGTCACAGGGATGGCACTGTGGCCGGGATCACCGGGATTGTCGAGGTGTCCATTCTTGTCCGCGGGGCCGTTATTAGTGTCGGCGACACGGACGGGCTGCTCGTCGCGAGCTGGATTAGCCATGACAGATAGTTAGATTGAGCTTTGGTCCTTAGAATTGTTCGTTAGACGGGGAAGCTGTTTCCCACAGACGGCGCCACTGATCTGACCTGATCAGAAATGGACCGTCACGGCTGGCTCCGAGCAGAAAGCTTTTTTGAACGAGGTGGGGGGGGGGGTACCTGCGAGGCACTCCGATGCTGAAGTAAGTAGGAGTACGAGCAGATAATAGTAAGTTGAGGTTAGAATGATGAATACCTGACCCTCTGGAAACAGAGGGTATTTATAGTCCCCAGCGCTGGGCCAAGGTTCCTTCATTGGGCCGGGCAGGTTTGGCCCAATGGAGGAACTGCCAGGTTCTACGTGGGTAGTGGGGACCCGCATGTGGTCCCCTTCCTGGATGTTCTGCGTGAAGTGCGGGCGGACGGAGACGCGGTCTTTCCGGAGTCTCGTTGGGGGAATAGTGGGCTGAGTCTGCCCTAGTTGGGATGCTCGAGGCAATGTCGAGCTGGACAGCAGGGTGTCGAGCTGGACATCAGGTCGTGGAGCTGGACGGCAAGATGTCGAGCTGGACATCAGGAGGTGGAGCTGGACATCAGGACGTCGAGCTGGACATCAGGATGTCGGGCACGGCTGTGACCCTTTGGTCGGCGTAGTCCTCAGTAAGTCCCTTTGGACTGGGCCTTAGCAATGCTTTTGGGCCTGTCGGGCCCAGTCCAGAACAGTACTGAAAATGTATTTCCAGTTTTAATATAAGATGAATCTAAAAAACGAATGTGTATAAGATGCGCACCGGAAATACATTTCCGATTTTTGAGACATTTTTAAAAATTTACCACTAAGGATGTGTTAAGAAATTCTCTTATTTAATGCAATTTGGTAATTTAAGCCCACGCTACCACCATTTAGAGATGCGATTACAATTTACAATGAGGGCACTTCATTGCTAGCTCATCAACTCAACTAGTAAAATAAAGAAAGTGTAACCTCATAACGTGAAAACTTAAAAAGAAAAAATAACAAAAATGAAATTATATGCTAAAATGATAAAATGATTAAAGAAATGGGTATTAGTAAGTGAATTGCTGATGAATTAATCTTGTAACAGTGGTCAACCTAGTACTAGGATAGTAGAAGCTTAACTCGTAGACGTTTGAGACAAGAGACCCTCTATCTCCCTTAGTAGCTGAAACTATGCCACCAGCCCTTTGCTGGAGCTTAATGCAGGCTGAACATGTCAAACTCAAGAATTTAACTTTTGAAATGGATGCTGAAACAGTAGCTTCAAAACCTGCTGCTATCACTAGTTTAAAATCCTTGACTGTGTATAAATTCTTGTAAGATTAGAGAATGCTAGTGTCAAATTTGTTAAAAGAAACTGTAATCTTGTTGCTATAGTCTTGCTGACTTAGCTTTTTCAATTGGATTTAAGTCTTTGGAAAGCATTGTTCCATATGTTCTATTTGGTTCTTTTCTAGGTTCAGTTTTGTTAATCATCCAAATCTCACATTTGATGTTATTTAAGTTTGAATGGAATTTCATTTATTGTCTTACATTTCTTCATCAAAATAATAATGAACAAAATCAATATGAGGACTCTACAACCTCTTCATGGAGGAAGCCGTCTGAATCAATATTCTACAAGGTCCCATGGTCACTTCACTTCTTCACTTGGCTATTAAATAATAGATAAAAATAATCAAATACTATGGGGAAACGAACAAAATAATACAAAGATCAGAGTCAAACTAGAACCCAACCCTCAAGTCCTTATTTCGTGAACAACCTTGGCTGAGGTACAAAGTCTAATCAATCTCTAAAAAATTATTGTGTTGTGTAGCTGTGCAACTCTCTAACTTGCCAACGTTATATTTGAAGGCAAATGTGAGATAAATTTGTGTAAATTTTGATTTTAAATGTGTTGAGCCACTCTCCTTGGCGTGTATAGTAACCGATTGATCAGTGGAAATCAGTACCAAAATGTGTGTCGTGTTAAAACATTCTTCTCGTTCAAGTCTTCTCACCCTGAGAAAAATTAAAGAAAAAATATTCTATCAAAATGTTTGGTATGTGATTGCCACCATCATTGATACAGTATAACATATACTATTTAGAAAATTGAAATAAGTATGTTGGGAAATAATAGTTCAGAGCCCATGAACTTTATTTTAATTGCAAAACCATGAACTATTTGCTACTAATAACTGCAGTATTTAAGATATAATAACTCACATGTATTGTTTTTTGCACTTACTAATGGTGCTTCCCATCACAAAACTGTGCATTTTGCGAGGATTTAAAAGTCTTCAAAAAATCTGTAGCCTTCTGCAACTCTTCCTTTTTCCTTGAATCGTCCCATTCGTGCTCATTTGCCAATATTTCAATCACACGAGGCAATGCCCTTTTTGCTGCATCAGTTTCAAGGAAAGCAAGACGAGTCCTTCTTGCAATGAAATCAATAGCAGATTCACAATATTCATTACGAGCACAATAGGCTACCTCTGCTTCCAGATATGGGTAACCGTGGGCAAGTCGCTTGCCCAAATTTTCATTCTGAAATACAAAATAGAGTCAATCATGAAATAATGAAACTGACTAAAACTTCAATGACACCCATAAATAATCACACCGACCAGTAAATAGACTGTAATATGAAGCCTTGTAACTTGGGAAATTATATACACTACAACAACAAGGTTAAAAAACAACTGAACGAGAAAAACAACAGATCACTGTGTTCTGTTTTTTAAACATGAGCACCCCAGTAGTAACTGTTATGGTACAACGCTAGAAATAAACAACAGGAAAGAAAAACACAAAGCAGAGCCCTGCATTCTTTTACATATGTGAGAATCACAGTAGTAACCGAGACGGTTCAAAGAGGATTGAACCAAACTCTAGATATAATGTCAGTTTAAGCGGGACCTGACTCAACTTTACAAAACCGGTTTGTAAGGTGAGGGGTGTCATTCTTCATAAACTCTAGTCATGTCTTATCTTTAATATATGTGGGCTTGGTTTTTCCAATAATTGTTAACATGGCCCCATATCAAATATGAAATAACAGTGGATGCCTCAGTACATGTTTTGTTGCTCGATGAAATAACAATATGAAATGAAATATAGAGGAATAAAAGCAAACCTGAGCGATGAAATAACAATATGAAATGAAATATAGAGGAATAAAAGCAAACCTGAGCAATGGCAGCCACTCGCTCTGCCAATGTTCCATATGCATGAGACAAATGCTTTGCAGCAGCAGAGTCCATTATCCCGGGAACAACTTTACCACCGTGTGTACTTTTCATGCGCTTATACTGTTGAGCAAGAACTGTAAAAGAAGAAAGCTCCCACCCTTCACCACCAACTATGCAAAGCTTGTTGGTCACACATCCATTGGCAGGGGTCAGCTTTCCAGACTTTATAGCAGCATTAACAGCATCTTCAGCCATACTGAAACACAGAAAACATAACAACATTCATCAATATATAAACTGTGTGTAGTAAACTTGAGTAACTAGATTACCAACACTTTTTTTTTTGCAAAACCAAAAGAGATTACCAGCGTATTAACGTATCATGCCTAGTCAGTGAAACCATGTCTAAACAAACTTCATCAAACTGATCATTAAATCATTACCTGCGATAGGTAGTCCACTTGCCACCAGTGATTGTGACCAAGCCAGGGTAATCTTCACAGACAACATGATCCCTTGAGATACTCTCAGTACTCTTTGCTGTTGGATCCACTGCTAATGGGCGAATGCCACTCCAAGCAGAAAGAACATCAGTGCGCCGAACCTATGATTTTCGCACCACTATTTATTCCCCAATAGCAAACCGTGTAATAGAATTGCAATAACTAGAATCTCTCATGTTTTCCTAAAGACAACCTAACACTTTTCCGAACAACCAATATCTAAGAGAACTTGTAATTCTTAATCTAACATCAGAAATAAGAATTAAAAATCATAACAAAAAACTACAAGCTTTTCTACTAAGTGGGGTTAGCTCCATGAATTAAACAGCATTATTGCGTTTTATCCATACCAACTCTTCAGAAAATAAGAGAAAATATAATGCGTTAAAAAATCATCTATACTGGCAGGTACAACATACCTTAACATTAAGGTAATCAGATATTGCATCCAATATAAATTGTATTTCATCTTCATGCGGTTCTGGAAGATATGTAATGCTAGTATTAGAATCTGTAGTACCAGCGATGGTTCGTCCCATCCAAGGGAGCATGAAAACAACACGTCCATCTTTAGTTTTAGGAACAATTAATCCCATTCCCTCAGGAGAATAATAATCAGGGAGTATAATATGTACACCACTGCTAGGAGCAATCATTTCTTGTGCATTTTTGTCGGCCATTTTCCTTAAAGCGTCGCAAAATGGCCCACTTGCATTCACAATCACTTTTGCATATGTATCAAACTCCTTGCCTGCATTACATTACATAAAATGTCAAACAAAGGTAATTAGCTATCACTGTAAAAATAATTACCCAAGTTTGAGCTATCTAAGTAAGACAGTACTGATCAGCAAAAGGGTAGTCTTCACACAGACCACATTCATTCACAGAGAAGTTATTCATCTTTCAGTTCACATTAACTATTAAGTGGCATTGATCAATTGCCCGGTAAGTGAAACAACCTTATGAATAACCTAACAACGTTGTATGTTCAAAAAAACTATTTCTAAGTATCCACGATGCAGAACACTGGGGTTCCACATTTATTTTACATAAGACCGACTGTTCTACTCAGGCTGCTGAGGTTTATTATCGTATGGGACGAGGGTGTGGTAACACTTAAAAATTAAAAGAAACGTTACCAGTTAAATTGTCTCGAACTCGTGCACCAATTATCCGTTTTCCAGCATCATCCTTCAGTAAGGAAACCACTTCGGCGTGGTTCAGCACTGCCGCACCAGCTAAAGCAGCAGTGCAAGCAAGTCCAACATTAAGCCGTGAATCATTCATCTGCCCATCATAATAAACAACAGTGCCCTTTAGGGTTCTATCCTTTCCCTCCTTTGCTAGAGTGGGAAATAGCTCAACAGACTCTTTTGTGGAATAATATCTTGATAAGTGCAGCAGTTGTCTTCCTGCGACCAAATCATACATTTTCAAGCCCGCCCAGTAGTACACTACTTCAAACAAGCTAAAACACGGTGTCATGCACGGCAATGCATGGCATAGGTGTGGTGCATTTTCAATAACCTGTTTACGCTCATCAAGTGCATGAAGTACTAACTTGTATTGTCCATAGTCAAGATTAAAGACGGCTTTCTCCAAGTAACGAACACCTAACAGTTCACAGAAACACTGATATTAGATTAGATTAGATCAGCTACATAAAAAGTTAATCTAATTTAAAACAAATAAAAACAACGCATAAATTTAATAAGCCACTGCACCAAGAGAAATGAACTTTGGCCGTAATGAGACTACAGTACACTATTAAGATGCACACAGACCTTTGCAAATCTTATGTTGATACTTATATATCCATGTATGCCTCTCAAACTTCTATGACAAGGAACCACTGATATAAGACCTCTGTACTTATAATTGTAAATTTAAGATCCTAAAAGTGTGCTTCATCATCTTTGAAAGACTCTTATCAAATACACTAGTCATCATCAAAACACATTATTGTTAGGCCCAAGTCACATCCCAGAAACCTGAATATAGTTAGTTGAATTCTGTTACAAACATTTATTTATTCATACATGTTATACACACACCATTAGAATAAAAAAAATAGATAAAAAAAGTGGTAAGAGCTTGTAACTTCATAGGACTTGATTCAAATACCAATTGGGACCGTTGTAAAATTGTTATTGGGCAATGTTATTACTTATTAATAATAATTTGCCTTATAATTGTGTAAAAAATAATAATCACTTCAAATCTATTTATAATAAAGGTTATATAGGAATAACAGCATGTAAGGTCTCTTCCAAGCGACTGGGATGAGATGGTAAGGATATTTTACTCTTAATAAGAGGTCTTGGGTTCAAACTCATCCTTAGGTATGCAGTAGTGTTAAATCTTTTGAGAGACAATTATACCGCTTATTGTGGTTCTTCCAACTCGAGATATTAGTCTATGCAATTGCACGTCCTAGATACCCGATTTATAAATTTAAAAAAAATGTTTCTATAAAGTGTAAATTTTATGCTGTAAATAATTGAATATTTTAATGTTGATGATCAAACAAAAAACGATAAAAATTCATTATCTATCCATATCAAAGCATGAATGACACGAAATAAATAAATAAATAAAACTGATTATTTCATTGCAAGTTAACAAGCACCCTTGCGCGCGTTATGTACCTACCTCCATGAAGAAGCTTAGTGGATCGCGACGAAGTACCGGAAGCAAAATCCTCCCGTTCCACGAGTCCAACATTGAGTCCACGAGTCACGGCATCAAGTGCGGCACCGGCACCAGTGGCACCACCACCGATGACAAGAACATCAAGTGGATTCGCCTTACTAGCAGCGATCAACGCCGACTGATGCGACTCCCTCGACGGAACAACAACGTCTGGAGCGTGGAGCTTCTTCCGAAGAGCGTCGAGATGTGAACCTCCTCCTCCGAAATCGTTAGCGGAGATTGAAGGATTGTGAAGGATCAAGGTGCCACCGTACGCGGTGGCGATAACCGCACCAGCGGCCGCGGTGAGTTTTCTCATTCTAGTCATGGCGGGGATTAGAAAAAAAGGAAAAGTGCGTTTGGGATAAGCGCGGTTGCGGAACGTGATTATTAATCAAAAGTGATGGAGAAGCGGTTATTTAAGATTATGAGATTGTGTGGAGCGGTGAAATCACGAGTTATGGTTGAAAAGTTGAGATATAGAGAGAGAGAAAGTGAGTATTCGTATATTCGCTTGTGAGTTTTATATGACGGGACCCGGATTGACTGCTGTAGAGATTATCAGTAGTTTCAAGATGTACTAAATCTCAGACGTTGATTTAAAATCAAATTGATCATATTTCATAATCGGTTTCGCACAAAGCACCGATTTGTGATCGAACGGTTCAGATGCCTTATGGCGTAGTGGTGTAACAACAGGAAATTTGGATTCGTGTTGTGGGGCCAAAGTGGAAGAAGTAAAGTGAAGAGATGGTGACAAATGTGAGAAAGTTGAAGGGCAATATATTTGTGTTTCTGCTTTAAAATAGGGAATAGTCAAATGTCATTTTTTAAGTTTGTAAGAGTTGAGAAAGTCAAAATTCATGTCTGAGTTTTTTTTTTCTTTAATAATTTTTTACTGCAAGGGTATGGTACTAGTATTTGCTTTTTTTTATTAATTAAATTCTACATAGACTTTGATTTCGATAGTAGCAGATCGATTTTAAAAAATAACGAAATTTAAAATTTCTTTTGGTATGAAATTTAATTTTTTTATAAGGTTTGAATTACGGAATGAAAATTTTGTAATCAAATAATGATTGAGATAAGAATATTTTACTACTCTAAGATATAAGAGTATTTAGTTAATTGAGATTAAAATTAATAGAACGACGCAGATATTTAGGGGTGATAAAATGGATCTGATTTATTGGTAGGTTTGTTTTGTTTGCATTTTAGTATGGAGATGATCTAAATATTTAGGCTCTCATTTTCTAATGTGACAGTTTCGTCTCGTTTTCTTTTCGAGTTTTTGTGGACACAAACGTTAATATAAAATTTTATTTTTATTTTTAAACTTAAAAGATATAGTGTCTACGAGTTTTCTCTATCTCACACTTATTTTCTTACAAAATAAATATAAATTTTAAATTCTCATCTTCAACTATAATCGTTCTGCCTCACACTATTTTTTACATACTTTTGCATAACAATTTAAATAGGGCACTTGCCCATTTCACACTCCTAATTATATTCTATAGAAAGATATGGTTGGACCTTTTGTCCGCATTTGTTTTGACTTGATTATAGAAAAAAGATTGAGCAAGGATGGAAAGCTCATTTTTCTAGATCTATCCTCAGTTTGGATCAGCACTAAAAGGGAAATGATCGATAACTTTTAGTGGGTCTCATGTCCTTTTGTTTCAAAGTATAATGTGCTTGATAACTATGACAAACAATGATATTGAAAAGACTATAATGTGCGTGTACTTAAACATATTTTGTATATATATATAAGAAATAAATATCAATACTTATATGAATATTTGTGTCATTTGATTATTAAAGAAAATAGTAATTTACTTTCTACTTTATACTTTTATTTGTTTCAAACAGCTACAAACGTATTTTACTCTACTCACTTTTATTCATTAAATTTTCAACTAATCTTACCGAATCAGAATAGATCGTCACAGCTAATTCGAGCAGAAGTTGAATGGAGAGTACCTGCAAGATACTCCAATGGCAAAGTAAGTTGTGGAATGAGCAAGCAAGTGTAAGAGTTAGAAAGTGTTGAATATCTGATTCTCTCGGAAGAGAGAGTATTTATAACCCACACCGCTGGGCCAAAGTCTCTTTACTGGACTGATCAAACAGGACCAACATAGAGACTGCCATGTTCTACGTGAGTAGTGGGGACTCGCATGTGGCCTCCTACCTGGATGACGTCCTCCGCAAGATCAGGAGGATATGGACGCGATCTTTCCGGGATCACGAAGACTCCGCAATATTCGAAGACGTTGGTAGTCAACCCTGCGAGGAAGATGCTCGGGAGGAGCGCCTGCTCGTTAGGGACGATCCTCGCGAGCGCAAAAGAGAAACAGTCTTGGTCGACAAGGCCTTTATGGTCGGGGTGTGGTCGTCCTCAGTCTGTTCAGACGTTGTCCCTGCGTGGTGAGGTTGTCTCCTCGCGGGAAAAGGTTAGTAGTTGCCCGCCATTTTCGAGGATAATACCGATCAGCGGTGCAGGTTGGCACGCTTGGATTGGGCCTTACTGGGAGTTAGGCCAAGGGCAGGCCCAGTCCAGAATAGAAGCCCCCCAAGTCGTTGCTCTTGGTGAAGGAGTTATGACTTGATTCAAGTTCGCCCATTCGCGAGGTTCGCTACCCGACATGAAGTTTTCTACCGTGGATGAAGAACATCGTCGGTTCATGATTTTGCTCCGTTCAGCGGTCGAAGCGTGTTCGAGGAGGACTCACGGGGAGAGGATGATATGCTTGTCATACACGTGGCGTGTTGGAAACAATAATGATGGCCTAGGGAGTAGGGGCCATCATTGTCTGTACATGTAAGTGTCGAGGAGAAAGGCGGCTTGTGACTGCCCGACGCAATGTTTCACATTCCACGTCAGCTCTATAAATAGGGTTTCAGGGCTCATAACTTACTTTCACATTTTCGCGCTTTTACACTTTCTCTGTCGTCAACACCGTGCATTTTCCCAGAATCTTTGAGACCACCACACAGTCCGCCGCGTACCTACCTTAACAACCGTCGCTCTTCATCTTTTCTCCAAGTAAGCGTTCTTTTTCCTTGATATCTTGTGTCGTAGATAGATTTTGATGGTGTTTAGTAGTAGTATTTCGTGTCTGGGGGTTATGCCCGGGGAATTCAAGCGTCTTAGGCGTCTGATTCATGAGCATGCCCGTGGCGTTCATACGTTTAGGTATACGATTTATGATCATGCCCGTGGTGTTCATGCGTTTAGGCATACGATTTATGATTATCCCTATGACGTTCATGCGTTTAGCTAACAAATTTATGAACTTGATCATGAAATTCATTCTTTCGTCAGTATCTGGGCTAGTTTTCCCCGTGACCTCCTTGTACCTGGCTAACAAATTTATGAACTTGGTCGTGGAATTCATTCTTCGCTCGTGTTGGCTCCTGAATTCGTCACCTACTATATGTTGGTCTTTTAGACCAAAAATGGAATAAATAAAACCAAGCTGGAGAATGTTTCGACGTGTGAAATAACTTAGAGAAAATATCTAAGTTACATATTAGCCTTCGACCAGGACTCACTATCAAGATTTCGACTGAGAAGGTCTTATGACCTTCGACTAGAAGAAAATACCTTTGTGTCGACACCAAAGGCGAGAGACATTTGAATTTGAATTATTGGAGGGAAAGACGGTTTCGCCAGCAGTTAAAGGAAAGCAACATGGCTGGAAGCTAGAGGTCGAGGGACATGCAGAGGACACTTGTCCTCATCTTAGAGCAGAACCACCCCTCGACGGTTACATAGTTTTTAGTATAAAATAGGAAAAACTGAGAAATGTACGTTGGAAAGGATAAACTAGTTACTCAAATATTGTCCAAGTACCCGCTGTGTGAGAAAGGATAAACTGAGAAATGTACGTTGGAAACACCACTTTTCATTAATAAAGTCTTTTTACATTGCTTTGATCTTATTTTGCAAAGTTACTTTTCCTGCATCTTTACCTGCATTTCTATTAACTTTCTTACTTTCCAAAACCACAAGTATCTTGTCTTTGGTCGAACGTGCATTCTTCCTGGATTTCTTTTTATTTTACATCAACCCAGTATAAAGTTAGCATATGTTCTGGGATCAATCTGATCAATCTCGCGAGTAACCAAAAGGACTTTCCTTTTTGGAGGATCAACAGTTGTTTACCAAAAACCACGGTAAACAAATTGACACACCTGGTGGGACGTTGCTAATTTTTATTAAATATCTTGTTCATGTTATTGCTTTTATTTTTGTACATTTATAACGTTGCATGTTATTAAGAAGTGGTAGAATAACCAACGAGTGTACTGTTAGGAAGAAAAATAGCGAGAGTAGCATGACTAACGAGCCAAATCATGGAGAAATACCTCCGCCAAATAATACTGGAACAACGGTTATTACCACCGTCGGAGAAAATATCTCAACTTCCGTTGGCTTAATACCAACGCTAACCACAAATCAAACAGGACCCTTACTTTCGTATGTGGGTCCAAGAGGTCCATTAGGAACGCCCCCACCAAGGGCAAATCCAGGATCTCGATCGTTCGTGCCCCCAGGATTTTTGACAGCCTGGAAGGGGCGAGAACATCCATATGGCATGCCAACCACTGAAATGGCTAGCCTTATGAATGTTGCTTCTACTTTTTCAGAACCTTTAGTGAGTGCATCATCGCCATTACAGGGATCTGGAGCCAGTATGGAAAATTTGGGTAGAAACCAATTTTTGGGAGGGCCATCTCATACAATACCAAGCCTCACAAATGCTTCTACAGCAATTTTGAGGCAACAGATGGACGAAAGTAATCATGATATGGTGCTAATGTTGGCACAAACTCTAAGTACATTGCTAAACCCCCTCATTCAAAATACTACCCAGTCGAACCAATAAATGACAGCGCATATAACGCGCATAGCTGAATTCTTTGGTGTGCCCCAAACTATTCGACAACCCCAAAGAATACCAATAAGAGTAAACCCAGGGGTAATCATGGAAGAGGATTTGACTGTTAATCAAAATCCTCAGATCCCTAGAGTAGAAATGGAACAAACTAGGGTCGAAATACCTCGAAATCCCCCACCAATCCCTAGAGAAATCGATCAAGGAGTGTATGGTGAATAGAAACCAAAATGCTGATGAATTGATACAGCAAGTTCGACACCAAAATTATGGAACAGACAATAATTTGACTGCCATGATCGAAAGGATTATGATTCAGAATGGGATGAACGTTGGTTTTCACAGACCAAACTTCACATCCCCATTGTCAGAATATATTCTGCAAACAGACTTACCCCCTAGGGGAAAGGTTCCCAAGTTT